ATAGAGGTTTTCTTTTGTTATGTTGACGGTACCACACCAAAATAGGTTGGGTTGTGAACCTAATTCCTTTTGAGCGATATCTTTTAAAAACAGCAGAATAGACACAAAGACATACACAGAAGAAGACAGATGTCATGTGACGATATATCCACAAATAAGCAAAGAATGCCATGATACGCTAGGGTACAGAAACAGAAAAAGACAAATCTCTTCCTTTAGAGGAGAGAGACAGAGCTCGGTCCTATCAGTGCCCTGAATCTGGACTCCTACCCTCCCAAATGGACTCCTAGGGCGGTGCTGGAGGATAAGCACTGGACTGCTAATTGTAAGGTTGGTGGTTTAAATCCACCAGCCTTTCTTCAGTAACCCTATAGAGGGCCGTTATGAATCATGGGATTTAACTTGTCTATAACAGCACTCAGGACTCCTGGGGCGGCACTGGAGGATCAGTACTGGACTGTGAACCATAAGGTGGTGGTTCAAAACCACCAACCACTCTTTGGAAACCCAATAAATGGTCATTATGAGTGAGAACTGAGTCAACAGCACTTAACAACAACAACAATCCTCCCAAAGTGGAGAGGAACATTATGCTTGGTAAAGTGAAGGGTCTGTGAAAAAGAGGAAGCCCCCAATGAAGTGGACTAGCACAATGACGGCAACAATGTTGACAGCACCTAATAACTCCAGCAGCAGCAGTCTCCCATACACGTGTGTCTGCAGAGCCACTCCCTTGTGCTATTTTGGCTACAGCAGCACTTGGAAACTAACAAGATGAGCAACAGGAAACTGTAAACATAGGGGTTAATATAATGGATATTGTCCCCTCTTAACTACTTTAAAATATGTTTGACGATTGGAAGAGAACCTCATAATGTTGGCTGGTTGGGTTTTCATTGTAAGTAGATGAAACATACAACTGTAACATGAAGGGAGGAGAGGAAAGAGACTTCATGGTGGTACGGGTTTCATAGTTCCCTTGAAGTGCTAAAATACTGATTTTATGGAAATATAAGTATGTATACTGTAATCCTTAGAAAAGTCACTAAAAATTCTACGTAGAGATACAGTAAAATCATAGCAGCTGAATTGAAACAGAATCTTTTTAAAAGGGACACAACCCAAAAGAAGGAAAGAGTAAGCAAACAGAAATGAAGAAAAGAAGGAATAAAAATAAAACGAGTAATAAATCTAAACACACCAATAATTAAATTAAACATAAAAGGTAACGCAGTGAAAACCTATTATAAGACAGAGATTAGCCCCAGAGATGGTGTGGCGCTGTGGGTTGATGCGCTGGACTGCAAAGTCAGTTTGAACTGCAAGGTTGGTGCTTCAGGCTCACCAGACACTCCTTGGAAACGATACAGGGTCGCTACGGATTGGGACCAACTCCATGGTACTTCACAACAACAGTTATATACTATCTACAAGAAACTCATTTAAAATACAATAATATGCCGTTATTGTGAAGTGCTGTGGACTCGATTCCGACTCCTAGAGACCCTGGTGAGTCTAAACTGCCAACCTTGTATATTGTTGTTGTTGTTAAGTGCCGTTGAGTCGGTTCTGACCCATAGCGACCCTGTATAGGGTTTCCAAGGAGACGCTGGTGAGCTTGAACTGCCAACCTTGCAGTTCAAATGGCTTTGCAGTCTGGTGCATTAACCCACAGAGCCACACCAGGACTCCTATATCTTTTGTTGTTGTTAAGTGCTGTCGAGTCGGTTCCGACCCATAGCAATCTTTCTCCCGCGGAGCGGCTGGTAGTTTCGAACCGCTGACCTTAAGGTTCGCAGCCCGATTCATAACCACTATGCTACCAGAGCTCCCCTATATCTTTAGGGGAGCAGAAAACCTCATCTTTATCCCATTAATAGATTCGAACTGCTGACCTTGTGGTTATCAGCCCAGTGTGTACACCATCAGAGAGCCTTTATTTTGCCCATAGAATTCTTTAATATTGCAACCTTGTTGTTGTTGTTAAGTGCCGTCGAGTCGGTTCCGACCCATAGCGACCCTGTACAGGGTTTCCGAGGGTGTAAATCCTTACGGCAACCTTAGGCTTGAATTTTTCTCCTCCTGTTCTTTCAGGTTGAGAAATGTTGAGCATGTTCTTCCCTTTTGGTTTTCTAACTCCAGATCTTTGCACATTTCAAAGTTGCACTTTGTCTTCTCAAAGTGCCCTTTGATCTTTTCTGTTCAGCTCTTGCTTCACCATTTCTTCTAGTCACTTTAGTTTCTCTAAGCTTGAGAACAAGTTTTTAGAGTCTCTCCTGGTATCCATTTTGGTCTTTTCTTTCTTTCCTGTGTTTTAAATGACCTTTTGTTTTCTTCATTTATGGTGTTCTTGATGTCATCCAGTAACTCCTCTTGTCTTTGGTCATTAGTGTTAATGTATAAAATCTGTTCTTGAAACGGTCTCTAAATTCAGGTGGGATATACTCAAGGTCATATTTTGAACTTGTTGTCATTTTCTTTAGCTTCAACCTGAACTTGCATATAAGCAATGATGGTCTTTTCCACAGTCATCTTCTGTCCTAGTTTTAGCTGATGATATTGAGCTTCTCTGTTGCCTCTTTCCACAGATGTAGTCAATTTGATTCCTGTTGTTCCATCTGGTGAGGTCCACATGTATAGTCACTGTTTATGTTGTTGAAAATGGTGGATTCCGTAAATAACTCCTCAAAGACATGTAGCATCAACTAAGAGACAGGGACAAGGGAATCCAGCACCTGCTTTCAGATGAGGTAGTCTGGGGTTAGTCAGCAGCATAAAGACCACAGAAGCACTTTCTAAAGTGTGACACGAGAATGAGACACTTCTGAAGTGGCTGCAGGCCAGGGAGACAGCTGATGCCACTCCAGAGAGTGGACACCTGGCATCTAAAAGGCCACAGCTTCCTGTAGTGCTGTGCAAAGTCCACCTACTTCTCTTCTTCACATGGTGACCACCTGAGTGAGGACCAGTAAGTGCCCTTTCTGCCTATCTATGTATCTTTATGTGCAAACACATAAATAGCATGAAAAGATACGTTCCATGCCACCACAGAGGTTACCCCTGGGATAGACAGACATTCTATGAAGGGATTTTTTATTATTTAAGATAAAAAACCTTCCTTGAATTTCATTACAATGAATATATATTTGTATTTACATATACATATACTTACTCCTCACTTATCAACATGGTTAGGTTCCAAAGATTAGGTTGCTATGTGAGAAATTTGCATTATGTAAAAATAAAGGACCACTACATCATTGCCTAGCTGCCACTTTACATCATTATATAGCTGTCAAATACCATAACTATTAAATCAATGAGAATCACAGCCTGACCACTGTGAATTGTCACAGCCAACATTGATTTTGCCTAGCACTTCGGTGCTCACAAATGGCAAACACACAAAGGCACAGCATAGTCAGATTGCTAACTATTATTGTAAATGTGAAAGGTCAGAGAATAAGATAGTTGATAAGTGAAGAGTTAAGTATATTATATTGTTGTTGTTGTCAAATGCTATCGAGTTACTTCCAATTCATAGCGAGCCAGTGTAGGTCTGGGTCTCAGGAGTGGCTGCTGGTTTGAACCTTTGACCTAGTGGTTAGCAGCCCAATGCTTATGCTTGAAATCTAAATGTAGATTCAGATAGATAATTATTGATGTATAATCATATCAAGAAGAAGCCCTGGGGTTCAAATAGTTAAGTGCTCAGCTGCCAAACTAAAAGTTGGGTTTCACACCAGCAGCTCACAGAAGACAAGGCCTAATGATTTGCTCCCATAAAGATTGTTGGTGTTGTTAAGTACCGTTGAGTCAGTTACGACTCATAGTGACCCTGTATAGGGTTTCTAAGGAGCAGCTGGTGGGTTTGAACTGCCGACCTTGTGGTTCACAGTTGGGTGCTGATCCAACCAGAGGTTTTAGAAAACCTTACAAAGCAGTTCTCCTCTGTTACATGGGGTCGTTATGAGTGAGAACTGACTCGACAGCAGTCAACACCGTGATATCAAGAGACATTATGTGACATTTGAAAAGCACAGAACAGAATAATAGAGCTTCATTTCTGTAGAGAAATCCTATTCTGTAAATACATGTGCACAGAGAACATGCGAGGGGAAGGGACAGACACCGAATGGTGAGTGCAGCTAGGTCTGCATGGAGGGACAGTCAAACCTACACCCAAACCCATTTCCATGACCTCGATTCTGACTCTCGGTGAGCCTACGGGTCAGCATAGAACTGCCCCATGGGGTTTCCAAGGCTCTTGTCCTTACAGGAGCAGACTGCCACGTCTTTCTCCTGGGGAGCAGGTGGTGGCTTCAAACTACTGATCTTTCAGTTAGCAGCCAAGGGCTAAACCACTGTGCCACCAGGGCTCCTTGGTGGAACAACAGGCCACGTAATTTCATTTCTTTACATCTCTTTTGTATATTTAAGAACTTTTTTTTGTAATAAACTAAAGAAAACAATCTTTTGCTCAAAGACAGATGGCCATTTAACAATAGTTCAGCCCTTTAAGTGCTATTAAGCAGCATCATAAAAGCAAGCACATTTATAGTTTTTTCATCGGTGATGTTGTTGTTGTTGGCAAAAACTCGAGTTATTCATCAGAGCATAAGACAACTTTCTGGAAGTCGGAAGACACCTGCTCACCACAACCTGAGAACAAAGAGTGGGTGGGTAGAAGGGGTCCCTGTTCCCCTTGGCACCTGGGTACATAGTTTTCTCCACACGGAGACCCTCTACCCCTAACTTACTCATATGCTTCATGAGGGTAGGGCTCATCTGTGTTGTTCCCCCACTATGTTCCTAAAACAGAGTGGGGTGCTCCATAAACACTGACAGAATGAAGAGACAGAAGAAAGTCCCGTTTATAAGGATGGGGTCCCTGATAAGAGGAGAGCTTCATGTCCTAGGTGCCCAAGGAACACACATATTGACAGCACTTCAACTACAAGGTGAGGGGACCCGCATCTGCCAAAGAGCAGCTCACTTACGGGGTGCTTGGAGGAAAGTCTTCCAGTCACAGTTCCAGTCTGGTTCCACGTAGACGAAATGAAGCCCTTCATCAGTGAAAAAGAAATGTTGTAAACTCTGGACGACTCTATGCTAAATTCAGGGCTTCAAACTGCCTCCCACTAGGTCAGCCGTGGCCAGTGGAGCAAAATTGCAATGGTCTTGAATTTTTTAAATTGGGCTAAAGTGACTGTTATTGATTCATCTAAGACATAAAGCAATGACATCTGACTTGGCTACTGCAAATGGCTCCAGAGAAGAGCTGCAAATATAGGTGGGTTAGCACATGATTTGCTGCACAGCTTCCAGGGAAATGTAAGGTTTTAAGCCATCATGCCCAGGTATGCTGGACAGAGACTTACCAGATAGATAGATGCAAAAAATGGGGGTTTCTAGTTTCAAGAATATCAATGATTTCATCATTTGCTAAAACATTTAGGAATTACACATGTGCCTGAATTCCAACATAAACCATATTATGACACAGTATCTGTTTCTTCACTGTAGCATCAGTTACCTTCTTCAGGCACGCCAGCAGTCCATCTACAAAGGTTGACTTGAGTTTGTGAACCTAAAGTGCAAAAAGAAGAGGAATCATTAAAAAAAAAAAAAAAAAAAGCGGGGGGAGCAAGCTTCAGAGCGGTGTTTCAGGGAAGATGATTCCAGGCAGCCCAGAAACAATCTTCGGGGGTACCCAGAATTCAACGATGACCTACAGAGGAAGAGCTCACTCTTGCTTTAAGTAAATGTGATTTTAAGCAATTTTAGACTTATAGAAAAGTTGCAAAGATATATAGCTCCTGGATACTCCTCTCCATTTTTCCCGCTGGCACCACCTCCCCCCCCCTTACTTCTCCTTCAGTCTTTGCATTATTTTCAAAGAGAAAGGGGTCAATTTGGTGCCTGTGTGTGCTCCAGATGCATAATCTTAACCAAGATAGAGTAGGCCAAAGGTTCTGTAATAGTAGCACCAATGGTATGCTGTTGTATTGATAAAGGCCGTCGAGTTGGTTCCAACTCATAGCGACTCTGTATAGGGTTTCCGAGGAGTGGCTGGTGGGTTTGAACCGCCGACCTTATGGTTAGCAGTCCAGTGCAGTGGCAAAAGCTCTAACTGTGTCCCTGGCACAATGGAGAAATCCTGAAGCCAACAGCAGCTATCTGATGGAGAAAACATGAGTGGCTAGAGGAGGTGAGGGGAACCTGTTAATAAATCACCAGCCAGGCTTCATGCCAATGGTGAGACCCCGCACGGCATGCCACGTGGTGATTGGCCAGGCCCAGCAGGGATCAGAGGGAGGAGATAGCATTCTTATAACCTGTCTTCTACCCCAGACGTAGATGGACGGAAGTCTCCTACTGGAGTCACCCAACAGTAATTGCTGAGTGTTTCCGCTTGAAGCTTCATTCGTCTTCACCCAGTTGTTCCTGTTTGTTGTTGAGTGAATTCTAACTCAGCGACTCTATAGGATAGAGCAGAACTGCCCCAAAGGGCTTCCTTAGCTGTCTGTGATCTTTAGGGAAGGAGTCCTGGTGGGGCAATGGTTAAGCGTGTGGCTGCTAACCGAAAGGTTGGTGGTTCAAACCCAGCAGCCACTCTGCAGGAGAAAAGAGCCGGCAAGACCCGGCAATCTACAATGGTAAAGATTCCAACCTTGGAAATCCCATGGGGCTGTTCTATCCTGTCCTAAGAGACCACTCACAGCTGGAATTGAGTCAACAGCACACAACAACAATCTTTATAGCAGACTGCTGGGTCTTTTCTCCTTTCAGTCAGCAGCTGAGCGCTTATCCATTGTACCCCCAGGGCGCTTTCTTCTCCCATCAGCCTCCCTGGAATCACAGTGGTGAGCAGAGCTGACTGTAGACTTGGGCAAATTTATGCCAGAGCACGAGTAAGTGGAAAAGGCCAATCTGAAACCAAGAGAGTCAAAGCCCTCAGCTGCACTAAAACTGCTCTACCTGAAGACTCCTAGCAGCATCATTGGTAACTGTCTAAAATGCACTTTTGCTTTACAACACAGTCAGATTTGCTTCAGCCAGGATGGGACTCCCAAGAGTCTCACGTACCCCTTCCATCACCCATTATTTATAAGACCTCTATAACATACCTCCATTCCTGATGCCACATTTTTCTTCATAGAACCCAGCTTCTAGGGTTATTTGCTCAGCATACAGGTTGAATAAATATGGTGAAAGGATACAACCTTGTCACACACCTTTCCTAATTTTAAAACATTCAGTGTTCCCATGTTCTGTTTGAACAACTGCCTCTTGGTCCATGTATAGGTTCCTCATGAGCACAATTAAGTGTTCTGGAATACTCATCCTTCTCAATGTTGTCCATAGCTTGTCATGATCCATACAATCGAAAGCCTTTGTGTA